ACGCAGATTGATAGTGCCTTTTGAGCGTGTCGCGAGTGGCAAGGGGTAGGGTTTTTGCACGGCGCCGTGCTGCAGACCAAAGTGTCACGTTTTGAGCTGGTTTGGACACTAATAAATTTGGGAAAATGCAAAAGCGTATCGATGACACTCTCAACTCATTTGTTCTTGTTGGTCTTGGTTGGGTCATCATAGGTCGACACCACGGGGACGGGTACCTTGGTCACGATGCCATTGGCCGGCACGAGGCCTCTTGGCTTCAGCTCTTGGACAATTGTTGCCATTGGCACCGCAGCGTTTTGACAGTTGGCGTTGTCGTCACAGACGTTGACACCGACCACGGTGTGGGTCGCTTGGAGCAGCACGGGCGACCCATGCGACCGGACGTCGAGGTTCGTCCCATACGCAAGCAAGCTCGCCGAAGAGCACGACGACATCCCTGGCAGCATTCTACACCATAGACCATCAGACATGCGTTGCGGGAGCTCTGCCCGACTTGAAGTCGGTTTGCGTCACGACTAGCGACTCGGCATGGGTGTTTTTAGTCAAGAGACGCTTACAGCTGTTGCTGGATTGCCCTGCCACGTAGATGCGCGCACCGGCAGCGACGTTCAGAGTCGCTTGGAGGTACCCGTACAAGGGCAAGACCGTGCGGGCGTCGACAGCGTCCAATTGCAAGAGGGCATATCCGATCTTGGGGTTGACATGCAAAACACGTGGCGCGTGCTGGAGTCGCGTCTGTCCGTGGCACTCGACCGTGGTGTCGTCGATGCACGTGGGCGACTCAGCGTTGAAGTCGACGGTCAGCGTGGCGTTTTTGCTGCTGTCTAACGTCCATTCATTAGCTTGGAGTTGCAAATGACACAAGCAGCGCACCGATACACGACGAGGACGTGATGACGTGCCCTTGCGAGCCCCAGAGCCACGCACCACAGAGACGATTGCCAGTGTTACGGACGCGGGCAGCGGCTCGTGTGTGTGTATACAGCTCCCGCGTCGCCGCATTGCTGAATGCGCACACGGCGGCCGTGGGGGTGTCGGGGCCGTAGGGCTGCCACGTGTTGAAGTCGATGCCGCAAATCGTATTGAACCCGCCATCTTCCAGCTGTGCGCTGACGATGACAGCCATCGCTACCGTGAACACGAAGCGGCGCATTTCTGCAAGTGTGTTGCGTGCTCTCGCGCTTGCTATTTTGAGGGCCCACCTCGCGAACCGACGGCGGGTGGACGCTACGGAGACGCTTTAACCGCTCCGGAACGCGCTCCGTTCTCGTTCTCGGACTGCGAGGTCCGGGATGATGTATTGTAGCAAACGCATCAACTTTGTTCGAACCCGAGCGTTATCTAGTCGAAAATGATGCTTACGCCGTTTTCCACCCGGACCAGCTTACTGGGCGTGACGTGGAACACACTTAGTCGATCGCCAAATTTAGTTTGTTGACGTCGCAAAAGGCGTGATGCGGCGCCATAATGCGGCGCCATTGCTGTGGTCTTTCTATTCTTATACCTCGAGCGGCGGTTGATCAGTGTGCGAGTGACGAAATGCTGCAGAACGTGCGCGGCCTTGCGTACCGGATCCAGTCCTTCGTACGTACTCGGCTCCTAAACGATGTAGCCGAATGCGGTGGTTAGCATGGCGGCAGCGGCAACATGTCGGTGCGTGTCGGCACGAACTCTCGCATCGACAAGGGCGCGCAAGAAAATCAAAAGTCGTACGTGGCGCTGACGCGTATCCTCTCCAACCTCGTCGCTGGTGCCCTCGTCTTCCTCTCGGTTGCTACGCTCATCGTGCTTCTCTCCCAGGTGCAGTACCCCTACCATTTTCGCTCTCGTCATGACATCTCAGTATCTCTTGCATTAGCACATGTTTGCCCGCACGATCGTGTCGGCGAATGCGCAGACTGAGGGCTTCTTCTGGGCGCCCTACGGCCAAAACTGCATGCTCAATGCCAACGGCTTTGTACCCAACACGTACACTGACGACGAGGTGTCATGTGTCGGAGGTGACGAATATGAATAATAGGTGCTCGGCCGTGGAGGAAAGCGCGATTGTACCGGCGGCGTGGACGGCCGTCGGCGTCGCCCTCGCGCAGCAGTGGTCGCTCGAACTTGCGAAAGGTTCTCAGCTTTTGCTCGCAAAGATCTCATATATGCCCGTAGCAAGTTCGCTGTACATCACGACGTGCAGCATTGGTGGCACCGCGGCCGTGGGGTGGGCCAACCTCGAGTTCATCGCCGGGTACGAGCGTGTGTAGTGACACCCGTTTTACTATGATGGGCGTAGGTACACTGGCTTCCCCGAGTGTTTGCCGACAAACGGCGCGCAGCCCGTCGCGGGCATGGCGATGATCGAAACGACGGTATTTTGATTCATTTTTCGGATTTGTGGCGATAATGTACGATAGATCCGCGAAAATCACCCGGACGGCGTCTACCTCATGACGCTCTACTCGGACCTGACGCCAGAAATGCAGGTGCGTTCAGTCTGACGGTGATTATACACTCTCACCACACGACAGCTCGTCCAAAGCTACGTCAACACGGACGGATCCGTGGCGCCCCTACTTCAGAACGTCAAGCGAACAGTGATCTCGCAAGCGGGAGGCATTGAAGATGACGTCCTTGGCTCGGACTATATCATTACGTCTCGGCCCCTTGGCAACCGGTATGTAGCAACTCATGTACCCTAGCCCGAGCATATCGTGAGCCACTAGGTACTTGGTCACGTCGGCGTGCCACACCGAGATCGAGGAGCTAACGGGGCAGATCTCGGCTCTGGAGCTCACGGGGTGGAGCCAAGGTGCTGACGTCTCTTGAGGTACTATTTGACCAAACCTCGTGTAGGGGCACACTCGAAATTGCCCATCGTGCCGGGCTGGAACTGCGGGCACACGGTCGCCAACGCCAACGAACTCGTCGCAATTCAAGTCATTTTCGCCATCATGACGCTCTTGCTGCTCAGCGGTGACCTCCTCACCACATATCAAGGTCCAAAGAAC